TGTGATGTGGAACTCAGCTTACAAGGACAGCGCTATGGGGAAAACTCAAGTGTACGAGTGGTATTCTCATTTCAAAAAAGGTGAAATGTTGATTGATGACAAAACTCATTCTGGATGTCTGTCAAGTTCCCGAATGGCCAAAAATGTTGACCAAACCTGTGCACTTGTGCTTGAAGACCCACGATAGACCGTTGAAGAGATGGGGAAGTTACCGGTATCTCGACTATCTTGACGCTCAGTTTAGCAAATTTTAACCAAAGATTTGGGAATGAGAAGGGTTGCTGCAAAATTTGTGCCTCGGGTTCCGACTGACCAGGCAAAAGAACTTCTACTGGAAACATGCCCTGCTTTGAGGAACAGCTCGGAAGCAATCCAGACTTTTCCCAAGGTCATTACCGGTGACCAGACATGGTACTATTCTTACGACCCCGAAAGCAAACCTCAATCAAAACACCATTGCCACCTCGCCCCCCCGCCCCCCCAAAAGCTCATCAAGTGAAATCAAAGATCAAGATGATGCTCATTTGTGTGTTTAATGTGAGGGGGATAGTGCATTTGGAGTTCATTCCACAAGGTCAGACTGTTAATCAAGCTTTCTATTTAGAGGTTCTGAAAAGATTGCATAACAGTGTGCACCCAAAAAAGCCTGAATTGAGGCAGACGGTGGACTGGTCTTGCCACCACAACGCACCTGCTCATGCAGCCATCTCAGTGCACCAGTTTTTAGCAAAAAACAGCATACCTTATTTGCCCCATGCACTTGACTCACCTGACCTCGCTCCACATGACTTCTTTTTGTTTCCATGAATGCATAGAGACACGAAAGGACAGTGATTTGGTGACTTAGAAATGGCGAAGAAAAAAATGAGGCACTGTTAGCCATCCCAACAGTTTGAAAAATGTTTCCAAGAATGGAATCACAGATGTGACAAATATATTAAATGTAATGGAGAGTGCTTTGAAGGTGATAAGGCTGTTATGTAAAAATAAATAAAATACATAGCTTTGGAAAAAAATTCCATTTGGGGGAGGTTACCCCCTCATGTGCTTTTAAAAAACTTAATTATAGATATATTTCCAATAAGCGTTTTCTTTGAATAGCAAGATTGACTAATAGCACATGGATACACACACACCATAACCGGGTCCAGATAACTCAATCATAGTCTGTTGCCCTTATCTTTAAAATTTTCTCCATGTCCTCGTTAATTTGGGGCTCCCCAAAGCTTGGGCACAGCGCTTAAGAGTCATGATTTAGGTTGACGGGCGTGGGAACCAACAGGCTAAATGTTCCTGAGATGCCAGGAAGAGGATTGCTTTCTCTGGCACACCAAGCCCTGCACTGAAACCCAGCTGGCTAATTTGCTCTCAGTCTTTGTAGGAGAGCCTGGGGGTCTTTTTTGATTAGAGCGTGGAAGAGGCTTGTAGGGGAACATGTTTCCCCACTTTTCACTCCTGCCTTTGTGTCCCTGAGTGCTTCCCCTACTCACCCCAACCCCGTGCTCTGAAGGGCAGGTGCACTCCAACCTCTATCAGAGTCTTTCAGATTATGTTCTGGGCTGTGGCTCTTTTTTTTTTTTTTTTTTAAATACGATTTATTTTCTAACTTCCAGATCCACAGAATTATGTTTTTAAAACATTTATCTTCTGATATGCTGTAGACAGAGATGGGAGGCAAACCTGTGCTCCTTGAGGTAGTGGCATGAACTAGAACAGGGGCATTGTTTTATCCTCGGTGACATCCTCCTTTACAGCTGGGTGCTCCGAGGGGTGCTAGCGTGGGCAGGCAAGCCCAAGGCTCCACTCCCAGAGGATGGGCTGTTGTGTACTGCCTGTTGCCAAGCAGTTTTGAAGTCCGTGCGCCATCTGAACCAGTAACTTCTTCTTTTTTAAAGATTAAATTCTTTACTGAGTGGGAAAGCTGACAGAAGTAGCCAGGGATTCAGAAAACAGAGATGAGTGGAAGCCCGAGGCCTTTCCATATTTCCTGGATCTTCTCGAGCAGTGATTCTGAAACATTGAGAAGAATCAGCCTCAGGGAGA